CAGTCATTTCCGAAAATTGACTTTTATTCACTGCTCACAAAAAAAGCACAGAATCAAGTTCGAGGTAATACAATTCAAGTTTTAGTACAAGTTTTTTATTGTTTTTTTAATGAACATTTATACAAACAAAAATACCTGTAAAAAGAAAGTGGCAAAGTACGTTTACGTAAGACTAACTCGATCTCAAATTACGTGTTAAATAGCAAATATTCATTTCTTAATACTAACGTGACGACAGTTTTTTCTCTAAGTACTCGAGTTTCTTTTAATCACGAGAAAATAATTTAATACTAACAAATATTAAAAATTTACATTGCAAAAGCGTTGTCAATTAATATATCCGTTATTTATCACAATATGTATAAAGGTTTTTAAAGTCTAATACTTTCGTGCTTTTGTAAACAGCATAAGATACGTTACGCACAGACTAACTGTTTTTTCTTATTTTATAAGAATGTTTAAATCTATGTATATTTGTATAAGGTGTAAAATAAGTATAAGTTTCAAAAAATCTTTTTTTATTATATGTATTACAATATACCAATTTATATATTCATAACATTATTAACATTATCTATAACATTTCTACATGTATATCCGTATACTTGTCGTCTGCAGAAATCTTAGAAGCACCGTTTAAGCCAGATGATACTCTGTCTTTGCAACTAGCAAAATTTATATTTGCGGTATGCATGGATAAAGGTACGTGTCACTAAATTGCCAAAAGTAATTATCACGAAAGTTTTCAATTTAATAGTAAGAACGATTTGGTGAAACAATTAATTAACAAAACAAAACTAAAGAGCTTATGGTCCAAGTTGAAGGTGAACGTTTTATTTATTCTCTTATTTATTTGATTTTCTGGTATAGAATCTGGATACATAAACATCATACTTTGTTGTTTGCCATGTGTATGTTCTCTGTTTGTTTTGAATTGTTGTACTTGCCGGTGTACAATGAGCGGTCTTTGTGATGACTAGGTGAGTTAAATGCGTATATATTAATTTAAAATATTTTTGTGTAATGCATGTTCTTTTCATGTAACGAATTTTTATATATTTACAAATTTATAAATTTTATATTATTATAATTTTCATATTATTATTATATAATTGGTATATTATTATTCTATAAACAGTGCTGAAGATGATCAACAGCAAAAAGTGATCAAAACGTGTAGAATACACTGCGTTTTATGTTTTATTTAAACGTTGATCTTCAAGTTGGACCATAAGTTTTTTAGTTGTTCTCGTTTTATAATTGTTTTTAATTTTGAAACTTAAAATATTTAAAATGTATAAACTAAAAAAAAAGCAATTATTATTTCTTAAAAGACAGAGAAACAGTCGGTGAGAGTAACTTGAGCAACATTGTAAATAGCTTTGGCGGATGGCCAATAGTTATGTCTCTTCACGAATGGAGTACAAAAAATTTGACGTGGCAAAATATTAGCACTATTTTGCACAGAAATACATTTGACAACGGCATTTACCTAATAAGCGTGTCTATAAATAGCAAGATGACCAACAGTAACGTTATCAATGTACGTATCGTATTTTTAAACACACTACATTATAAAGTATATTTAAAATTTTAGTACTAAATCGTGTAAGTTTCAATCGGGCAAGACATTAAATAAAGTAGAAAAATTGAGTCGCAACCACACGTGTTAAACAGATTTCCATTCGGAAAAAATAACTTAATAAAAATGTTATGTGTATTTAGATTGTAGAACCGCGCCTTTCTTTGACTCGAGACAAAATGATTCAGTTAAACACCACTCAGACGCTGAAAGACGACTTAATATCCCAAATTGTTAGCGTTGCGAAAAATCTTATAAAAGAAACTAATAGAACCGAAATGAACAATTTTACTCAAGATGCACTTGATATACTACACTTTGAAATGGAACTGGCTAACGTTAGTATAAACATTTATGACAGTAGTAATAAAAACTACGCCATTAAAACATTTTTATGTATGTTAATGTTATCGCTACATTTTGATTGACTTCTTACGTAATGTAATATATATATATATATATATATTGTTTTTGTATTATTTTTTTCTTAGGGTTCAAAGTAATCGAACTCTTTAATAGTCGATGCAAATTACTTATCCTATTTGATTTCTAATGCTCACAGGTAACAAGCAGCATGGGAACATCGAAGGATATTGATCGATATTTCTTTCCGCTAACAATCCAACAGTTGCAAGTAGAGTATGACAAACAACAACCAGAAATGAAGGGAAAGGTGCGATTTGATATAATATTATTTATATACTTAATTAAATAATTTTAATTTATAAATAACATTTTTATTACAGATTAACTGGCATTCAGCCATTCAGGAAGTGTTTGCTTCAGAAGGAATCACGATTGAACCGGATGAAAAGCTCATCGTTCCAGCATACAAATATCTCACCAATTTAGTACCGTTATTGGAACGAACACCATCACGTACTATTGGTAGGATATTTAAAACATTAAATATCGTACAAGAATATTATCGCGCTTATTAAAAGAAAAATATATTGCCAGCACAATAATGCAATTGCATTTGCAGTTAATTTTATGCAATGGACCATAATCAAACAGCTAATTGATTACACCAAAGAACCCGAAGCAAATAGTTTCGCAGGCGTAAGACCGCATGCGGACGCAGTCGATAAACAAATGGAAGAAGATGATACAAGGTGGATGAGTTGTATCAGAAAGCACAACTTAAAATCTGCTATTTCACATGAATATATCGAGGAATATATATCGCTCGAAAACATAGAGGACGTAAGTATACTATAATTAAAATAGATACAAGTAATACACGTAAAATAAATTTTACTCGTCCTCGAAAATAAAATTATTCCAGATCAGAGAAATAACTACAGACATTGTAAGCTCTGTTCGTCAACAAATACAAAAAGTTACGTGGATGGATGAACCTACAAGATTAGCGTCACTCGAGAAATTCGCGGATATGAACTTCGCGTTTTTTAAGCCCGATTGGTACAGCGACGAAGCTATTGACAGATATTATGAAAACGTAAGTACATTGTCTAGAACCACAATGTTTCTAAAACATAGAACTTGTTTAGTATATATTCTTCTTTTTTTGACAAAGGAAGAAAAGTAAGACGAGAAATACAAATAAAAATATTTTACATTTTTGTATTTTGTAACTATTTTTTTGTTTATGTTTTGTGACAATTCTTTCTAAAGAAGCATTTTCTGTTATGCAATTTAGCTGAACGTCAGTTGGAGATATCTCGACAATATCATAAATATTCATAAATTCGAGAGGAAGAATCTACTGAACTTGCTCAGAACACCCGTAACCAAAGACTTGTATGAACTGTTTTCAATTCATGTTTTTAATAGTACAAATACTATATATATATATGTATAAAATAATTGATGTATATATCTTAAGAAGTTTTTAATACCTGTATTTTTGTTTAATAGATGGTTTATGGAACCGTCAGTACCGTTTGCATACTACACTCCTTTTCTCAATAAAATCGGTAAACATACTTTATATAATAATTGATCCTGAAACAATGTTACTAATTTGTACTTTTAGTATTACAATAATTTGGTATTTTTTTTTGTAGTTGTAACTGCTGCCTTATTACAAAGTCCTGTGTATGACAGAAATCGTGTTGCGTGAGTATTATTGTTTGTACCACGTTTTGAAAAAACGTTTCCGAAAAGAAAATGTAAGAAAAACTCCATTTTCTTTATTCTAGGTTGATGAATTATGGATCGCTAGGATTTGTTATTGGACATGAAATTAATCACGCCTACACTTCTATAAGTAAGTACTGTTCTATTTTTATGTCAATAAGAAAATTTATACTGCAACGTATTGGATACAGATAGTAGGTTTGACAAAGATGGCAACATTGGGCAATGGTGGACACAAAACACTATCGATAAGTACAACAATATAACGCAATGTTTCGTTGACCAATACAACGAGTATCTAGTTCCGGAATTAGAGAATATTCGAGTAAGTAAATTGAAACACATGTATAAAAATGTAGACTAAAGTTTAATTTATTTTCAAGATATCTAGTAGAATCTCGTTTCTTGTAATTAATTATTCTACAAGTGTTCTGTGTTTTCTAGGCTATGTAAAAGTTGTAATCTAAATTTTTCAGGTAAACGGACAACAGTCGGTCAATGAAAACTTTGCCGATTCTGCTGGAATTGTTGCTGCATATTATGCGTACAAGAACAGAAAAGCAAGACTGAATGAAACAGATTGGCGACTGCTAGGACTGGAAGAGTACAGCGAAGATCAAATCTTCTTCTTGACTTATGCTCAAGTAAATATCTAATAAAAAATGTATAATTAGATATATGGAAACAACAACCATCAAACAATCGGCGAAAATACATAAACTACAGAAAATATTAATATCATCTCTTCTTTTAGCTTCTCTGCGAAAGTGTTCTGCCGGAACGGATAAAACAAGATATTAATTTTGATCCTGTCCATTCTGCGAAAGAAATTCGGGTTCGCGGCAGTCTTTCAAACTTTCGTGAGTTCTCCGAGATTTACAATTGTTCCCTGGGAAATCGAATGAATCCGGAAAAAAAGTGCGTAGTTTGGTACTAAACCGACGAACAACGAAGACACGTGGAAGTAATGGAACTACAAAATTATGATTGCGGGTTTTTCTTTCCTTCAGCAAACAAGTCATTTGTAATAATCAAAAACATATTACATATGTAATACATTAGTGCTTGTTAAATATTAAATACATTTGGGATAAAATAGTTTTGAGTTTCTTTTGCACGAATAAAACGTTCCACAAAATCAGCGCCCTTTCCGACCACACAAAATCATCGCAAAAGTTCTAACGGAATTTGTTAACAAATTATGTTATGAAGTCGTGTTAGATCGTATGTCAAATATTCTATTACGAAGCAAACTAAAATTGACGTAATTTAAAATTTTCAATTGCAAACAATTAAATAGCTTCGACAGAAACAGCAAGAAGAAAGAAGTTTTTATATGCATGTATTCGGAAGGTTAATACGTATTTAAAACTGGACATAAAAATGATCTCTTACGTATACTTCTAAAAGATAATTGGTAAAACATAATATAAAAGTATTTAAATTGTTGAAAAATGCTTTAAGAATAAAAATTGATATCTTGTTGAGAGGAGTCTTTTATTTTAAGCTGTTGTCATAGACCACTGTATTTCACTAAGTCCTATTTGTAAGATAAACGACAAGAGAATGGTGAAAACTACGAATGTAACTTAGGAAATACTTTCGGATTTATTAGAGGATAACTACGAGCAAAACACGTGATTCCTATGAATATCACGTAAAGATAAGCGAACTAGCGCATGCGGATAAGTTCAAATATCAAATATGATTAGTTAACTTTCGCCCGCTACAATACACTGTCGATTTTTTTTTATTTGACTTCGTATACAGGTCGAACATTTCTGATTATATAAGAAAAATTTAACTCGAGCGTTTTTTTTCTGCAAAGACAATTCATTAGGAACTAATTGTTCTGTTGAATGTGACTAAACAGTGACAATGTGCACAAACTTGTAATTTTTTATGTAGTACTGAAACAATGTTTGTAGCGCACTGAAAAAAATTCAAATTTAACATTGCAAGAAAAAAATAAAATACGATTTTTTTGTTCTTCGTACATCGTTTTTCACACATAATTATTTACAATTAATGTAAGTGAATACTTGTGTATCGCACTTTACATCCCACTACTAGAAAGTACAGAGAAAAGCCAAGAATTATTTGAATGTGACTCTTTGTATAATTTTAGGTCGTTCACATGGCAAACACGAGCATGCCACGTGGTTTGATACAAACACATAGAGACGTTCTTCCGTTGCTCTAAACTTTTAACAGAATTAGTCAGTTCCAGGCAACCGCTTCGATCGTACGTAGGTACTGTGCTAACGATTTAAAGTAGTTGAGACATTAAAACTGTTTAAGAGTTTACATATAACGTGTGTTTTAGATGATTTCGTCTCGAACCAATTGTACATATGACTATTTAAAAAGAAAGAAAAATATTATTTATTAACTCAAATCTAAAATCTCTCGTTGGATTAAGACACTTTATGTAGATATATGCGTAACACATGCGTCTAACGTACAAAGTTGAACAAGTTACGACGCATCACTTGGCATATATACATGAGTCTTAATTAAACTATCCAAGCTCAAAATATATGGTAATTNATGCTTTATTTATTGTTATGAACTTATAGTATTTTTTATACAATTACGAAGTATAAGATTTCCGACTATAAGAAAACTGTTACTCAACCGTTTTTTTTGCAACGGCAGTTCTTTAGTGACCATCGTTGAAATTGCGAACACAAAGTCGAAAAGAAACGGTGCCGATTCAACTTCGTGTTAGAAACTTACACTATGGATACTTATCGTTTCTTTATGTAAGAATTAATATTGCAAACATTACAACATGTGTTTTTACATTTCTATAAAAGCATACACATATGTCTTTGTAACAATAGTAATTAAATATGTCTCGTTTTTTATGTTTGACCATATTTTTGCAGAGTTTTTCTAATAGCGTACGTTACTTTCGGCGCTTCGGCGACGAACAGTAATGGATTTGGTCAATATACGTTATGCGCCACTGATGAATGTATAAACGCAGGCACGTGTACAAATTATATGTTATATGTTCATTTTTATATATCATTGTTCTATGTGTATGTAATTTATAAAAAAAGTGTATTTCTATAGCTTCAGAGATTTTAGCCAAACTCAATCGTACCGTTGATCCATGTGATGATTTTTACCAATTTGCTTGTGGCGGATGGTTACAAACTAACCAACCAAATCAGTCATTTCCGAAAGTTGACTGTTTTTCAGTGCTCACAAACAAAGCACAGAATCACCTTCGAGGTAATACAGTATAAGTTGTAGTACGAGTTTTCTAGGTTGTTTTTATGAACATTTATACAAACACAAATACATGTAAAAAGAAAGTGTCAACGTACGTTTATGTAAGAATAAATCGATCTTAAATTACGTGTTAAATATCAAATATTCATTTATTACAACTAACGTGACGATAATTTTTCCTCTAAGTACTCAAGTTTCTTTTATGCAACAGAAAATTATTTGAAATTAACAAATATAAAAAATTTACGTTACAAAAGCGTTGTCAATCAATATATCCGTTATTTATCAATATATGTATAAAAGTTTTTAAAGTCTAATACTTTCGTGCTTTTGTAAACAGCATAAGATACGTTACGCAAAGACTAACTGTTTTTTCTTATTTTATTAGAATGGTTAAATTTAGTTATGTTTGTATGAAGTGTGAAAGAAGTATAAGTTTTAAAAAAAGTTTTTACATTATATGTAGTACAATATTTCAATTTATATATTCATAACATAACTAACAGTATCTATAATATCATTTATATATATATGTACTTATATATAATTATATTAAATATATATATATGTATATATATATATGTACATATATATATGTATTTGTCATTTTGTTGTCTGCAGAAATTTTAGAAGCACCTGTTAAGCAAAATGATACTATGTCTTTGCAAAAAGCGAAACATATATTTGCGCAGTGCATGGGTAAAGGTACGTGTCACTANATTGCCAAAAGTAATTATATCACGAATGTATCTAATTTCATATTAATAACAGTTTGGTGAAACAAAACAAAACTAAAGAGCTTATGGTCCAAGTTGAAGGTGAACGTTATATTTATTCTCTTATTTATCTGATTTTCCGGTATAGAATTTCGATACATAAACATCATACTTTGGTGTTTGCCATGTGTATGTTATCATTTTGTTTTGATTTGTTGTACTTGCCGGTGTACAGTAGGCGGTCTTTGTGATGACTAGTTGAGCTAAATGCGTATATATTAGTTTAAAATATATTTGTGTAATGCATATTCTTTTCATCTAACAAATTTTTATATAGTTACAAATTTATAAATTTTATAGTATTATAATTTTTATAGTATTATTATAAAACTTTTATATTATTATTCTATAAACAGTGCTGAAGATGATCACCAACAAAAAGTGATCAAAACGTGTAGAATATACTTTGTTTTATGTTTTATTTAAACGTTGATCTTCAAGTTGGACCATAAGTTCTTTGGTTGTTCTCGTTTTATAATTGTGTTTAATTTAGAAACTTAGAATATTTAAAATGTATAAATTAAAAAAAAAGCAATTATTATTTTTTAAAAGACAGTGAAACAGTCGTTAGGAGTAACTTGAGCGCCATCGTAAATAGCTACGGCGGATGGCCAATGGTTTTGTCTCTTCACGAATGGAGTACAAAAAATTTGACGTGGCAAAATATTAGCACTATTTTGCACAGAAATACATTTGACAATGGCATTTACCAAATAGACGTGTTTGTAGATTCCAGAATGTCCAACAGTAACGTTATCCATGTACGTATATTCATATACAATACATTATAAATTATATTCAAAAGTTTATTACTAAATTGTAAATCTTAATCTCGGGCAAGAGAGGAAAAAAAGTAACAAAAGTGAGTCGCAAACACACATGGTAAACAGATTATCATTCGGGAAAAATAACTTAATGAAAATTTTATGTGATTTTAGATTGTAGATCCGCTTCTTTCTTATCCTCGAGACGAAATGATTCAGATGAACAACACTCAGCAGCTGAAAAACGGCTTAATATCCCAAATTGTTAGCGTTGCGAAAAAACTTATAAAAGAAACTAATAGAACCGAAATGAACAATTTTACTCAAGATGCACTTGACATAATACACTTTGAAATGGAACTTGCTAACGTTAGTATAAACAATTATGACATTAGTAGTAAAAAATACGTTATTATAACATTTTTATGCATGTTAATGTTTTCAGTATATTCCAATCGACTTTTTACGTAGTAATGTAATATATATATAAATATATATATATATATATACAGGGTGTCCCAGAATTTGTGGAACATTTTTCGTTGACAGATAGAAGAAGTAAAACTGATCCGATAAGTTCTATACCATTTTGCTAGATTCGCAATAGTTACCGAGATCTTAATTAACAAAGATCAGTATGCATCGGGCTGTCTTACGCGTGTAAGATAGCCCGGCGCGCTTACGGTGTGACCCGTAGACACATATGAGAGGAGCTAATATTACAGCATACACTATAAGATATACATATTAAAATGTAATCGTGCAAAGCGCGCTTGGCTGTTCTACGCGCGTAAGACGGCTCGATGCACGCTTATTCGCGGATCTTTGTTAATTAAGATCTTGGTAACTAGTGCGAATCTAGCAAAATGGTATAGGACTTATCGACTCATTTTTACTCCTTCTACCTGTCTACAAGAGATGTTACACCAATTCTGGGACACCCTGTATATTGTTTTTGTATTATTTTTTTTCTTTAGAGTAAAAATTACTCGGACTCTTTAATAGATGCAAATAACTTATTCCATTTTTTTTTTTTCTAATGTTCACAGTTAACAAGCCCCTTGGAAACAATAATGGATGTTGATCAGTATTACATTCCGCTAACAATCCAACAATTGCAAGTAGAGTATGACAAACAACAACCAGAAATGAAGGGAAAGGTGCGATTTGATATAATATTACTTATATACTTCATTAAATAATTTTTATTTATAAATAACATTTTTATTACAGATTGACTGGCATTCAGCCATTCAGGAAGTGTTTGCTTCAGAAGGAATCACGATTGAACCGGCTGAAAAGCTCGTCGTTCCAGCATACAAATATCTCACCAATTTAGTACCGTTATTGGAACGAACACCATCACGTACTATTGGTAGGATATTCAAAACATTAAATATTGTACAAGTATATTATCGCGCTTATTAAGAAAAATATATTGCCAGCACACTAATGCAATTGCATTTGCAGTTAATTTTATGCAATGGACCATACTTAAAAAGCTAATTAAGTACAACAAACAACCCAATGCAAATAGTACTGCACGCGTAATACAGCACTCAAACGCAGTCGATAAACAAATGGAAGGAAAAGATACACGGTGGAAGAATTGCATCAGCACGGTCAATTTAAAATCTGCTATTTCACATGAATATATCAAGAAATACATATTGCTTGAAAACATAGAGAACGTAAGTTTACTGTAATTACAACAGATACAAGTAATACATGTAAAATAAATTTTACTCGTCCTCGAAAATAAAATCATTCTAGATCAGAGAAATACGTACGGACGTTGAAAGCGCTGTTCGTCAACAAATACAAAACGTCACATGGATGGATGAACCTACAAGAGTAGCATCTCTTGAGAAACTTGCGCATATGAACTACGCGTTTTTTAAGCCCGATTGGTACAGCGACGAAGCTATTGACAGATATTATGAAAACGTAAGTACATTGTCTAGAACCACAATGTTTCTAAAACATAGAACTTGTTTAGAATTTTTTTCTTTTTTTTTTTTACAAAAAAAGGAAAGTAAGAAGAGAATTACAAATATTTTACACTTTGGTATTTATGTATCTATTCATCTGTTTTTGTATTGTGACAATTCTTTCTAAAGAAGCATTTTCTGTTATGCATTTTAGCTGAACGTCAGTATGGGATATTTAGACAACATCATAAATATATTGAAATTCAAGAATAAGAAAAAGATGAACTCGCTCCGAACACTTGTAAACAAAGACAAGTATGAACTGTTTTCAATTCATATGTTCTCAATACTACACACATATATATATATCTCAATACTACATATATACATATATATATATATATATATGTATATATATATAATAATAGATGTATATAACTTAAGAATTTTTTAATACCTGTATTTTTGTTTAATAGATGGTTTCTTGAACCGACAGTACCAGAGGCATACAACACTCCGTTTTACAATAAAATCGGTAAACATTCTTTATATAAAAATTGATCATGAAACAATATTAATAATTTGTACTTTTATCATTACAATATTTCGTTATCTTCCTTGTGTAGTTGTCACAGCTGCCTTATTACAAAGTCCCATATATGACAGAAATCGTGTTGCGTAAGTACACTTGTTTGTAATATTTTTTGAAGAAATGTTTTCGAAAAGAAATTGTAAAAACAATCCATTTACTTTATACTAGATTGATGAATTACGGAACGCTAGGATTTAGTATCGCACATGAAATCAATCACGCCTTCGATACTCAATGTAAGTAATTTTCTGTTTTTATGTTGGTGAGAAAATTCATACTGCAACGTATTGAATACAGGTAGGAAGTTCGACAAAGATGGCAACGCCGTGCAATGGTGGACACAAGAAGCTATCAATAATTACAACAATATAACGCAATGTTTCGTTGACCAATACAACGAGTATCTAGTTCCGGGATTCAAGAATATTCGAGTAAGTAAATTGAAACAAATGTATAAAAATGTAGACCAAAATTCACTTTACTTTTTAGATATTTAGAGAAATCTCGTTTCTCGAAAGTAATTAATCTATAATTGTCCTGTGTTTTTTAAGCTATATAAAAGTTGTCTAATTTTTTCAGGTTAACGGACAACGGTCGCTCGGAGAGAGCATAGGCGATTCTGGTGGAATTGTTGCTGCATATTACGCGTACAAGAACAGAAAAGCAAGACTGAACGAAACAGATTGGCGACTGCAAGGACTAGAAGATTACAGCGAAGATCAAATATTGTTCTTGACTTATGCTCAAGTAAGTATTTAATAAATAATGTACCTTGAGATGTATGGAAACTACAGTCATCAAACGGTCGGCGAAAATACGTAGACAAGAAATAGAAGATATTAATATCATCTTTCTTTTCAGTTATTCTGTGAAACCGCTTTGCCGGAACGGATAGAAGAAGATATTATTTTGGATCCTTTCCATCCTTTGAAGGAAATTAGGATTCGCGGTAGTCTTTCGAACTCTCGTGAGTTCTCCGAGACTTACAATTGTTCCCTGGGAAGTCGAATGAATCCGGAGAAGAAGTGCGTACTTTGGTACTAAACCGACGAGTAACGAAGACACGTAGAAGTACTGAAATTACAAAATTATGATTGCGGATTTCCCTTCAGCAAACAAGTCATTTGTAATTATCAAAAAACTATTACATATGTAATATATTAGTGCTTGTTAAGTATTAAATTGCGGTAAAATAGTTTTGAGTTTCTTTCGCACGAACAAAACGTTCCACAAAATCAGCGTCCTTTCCGACCACACAAAATCATCGCAAAAGTTTTAGCGGATTTTGTTAACAAATTATGTTATGAAGTCGTGTCAAATCGATATGTCAAATATTCTAGTGCTGAGCAGACTAAAATTGACGTAACTTAAAATTTTTAATTGCAAACAAGTAAAATGCTTCGGCAGAAACAGCAAGAGGAATGAAGTTTTTATCTGCATGTATTCGGAAGGTTAATACGTATTTAAAGCTGGACATAAAAATGCTCTCTTACATATACTTCTAAAAGATAATTGGTAAAACATAATATAAAAGTATTTAATTTTTTGAAAAGTGCTTTGGTAAAAATCGATATCTTGTTGAGAGGAGTCTTTTATTTTAAGCTATTGTCATATAGCACTGTTATTTACCAAGTCTTATTCGTAAGATAAACGACGAGGGAATGGTGAAAACTACGAATGTAACTTATGAAATATTTTCGGACCAATTAGAGGACAACTACGAGCAGGACACGTGATTCCTATGAATATCACGTAAGGATAAGCGGACAAGCGCATGCGGATAATCTCACATATCGAATATGATTAGTTAACTTTCACCTGCGGAACGCTACATTACGCTGTAGGTTTTTGTTAAGTTAACTCTGTATAAAGTTCAAACATTTTTGTTTATGTAAGAAAAATTTAACTCGAACGTTTTTTTCTGCGACGGCAATTCATTAGTGACCATCGTTAAAATCGCGAATACAAAGTCGAACACAAGCGGTGCCGATTCAACTTCGTGTTACAAAATTACACCATGAGAACTTATCGTTTCTTTATGTAAGAATCAATATTACAAACATTACAATTATATCTACTATAACAATCCTGTAATAGCATACACATGATCAAAAAATAACTATGTCTCGATAACTCTAGTATATAATGTTTCTTTCATATCTCCTACATTTTTGCAGAGTTTTTTTGACAGCGTACGGTACTTTTTACGCTCCGGCATACAGTATTCAATATCGTCAGTTTATATTATGCACTACTAATGAATGCAGAAACGCAGGCACGTATTGTATTCTAAATTATTTATATCTTGCTTTCATAATTTGTTTTAAGTTTATGATTATTTATAAAGTTTATGATCATTTAAAAAAGCTTATTTCTACAGCTTCAGAAATTTTAGAGAAACTTGATCCAATTGTTGATCCTTGTGACGATTTTTACAAATTTGCTTGTGGCGAATGGTTACAATATAATCAAGCAAATAAATCATTTCCACTAATTAACTTTTACACAGTGCTCAGTAGAAACATACATAACCAACTTCGAGGTAAAACAGTTTTATCACAAATTGTTTATATATATACAAACAAAGATATTATATAAAAAGAAAGTGCGAAAGTATGCGGCCTAAATCAAGCTATAATTACGTTGCGTAATAAATATACGTTTATTGCTACAAATTGTGACGATCTCTTTTGACGACATTTTTTTACGTTTTTACTATAGTCTTTTCAGAGCAAAATAAGTTCAAATTATATATAACGAAAAAATATAAATTAGAAATGCGTTATCACTCAGTATATCAAGAGAATATAATACATAAATATTATTCGGTTAATACGAAGTCTCAAGAAAGCACATACTATCATAATAACCAAAAGAGACACGTAATAGTTACAGAAGTATATGAAACTGTAAACATACTATGGCTGTGTACTGTTGTGCACTTCGTGCAAGTGAAGAACGTTGAATTTTAACATTGTTTCTCTTCATTGGACACTTTTTATTGGATTCTCGCGTATGTGCGTCACGTTCTTGAAAAACTCTGTAGATCGAAAAATTGTAAAAGTTTCAAAAATTTAAAAATTTCGTGCTTTTGTAGACAATAATAGTATAACACACATTACTGAGACTGATATTTTCTTTTTATTTCATAAAAAATGCGTGTAAATTTATTTATATTTGTATTGATTGTAATATAAAAGTAAATTTAGTTTAAAAAATGGTTTCACAATTTATGTAGTATAATGTACAAATTTATGTACAGAAATGTTAGAAGTACCGACTAATCCAAGCGATACTATGTCTTTCCAAAAAGCGAAACATGTGTTCGCGCAGTGCATGAATCACGATATTGACAAAAATACAAGTAGTAAAGCAGTCAAAATGACCAACTTTAGCATTACTGGAGAAGCAAATGGTATCGCACGTAATAAACAAAGATATAGAAACGTTCCGAAGTGGGAGAAATGCGTGAATACAGTTAAAATGCATACTGCTATTTCACATGAATATGTCAAGAAATACGCATCGCATCTAGAGAATGAAGAAACTCTAGAGAACGTAAGTTTACTGCGCAATTAAAATAGATTTAATTTACATATAAAATTTATTTAATTCGTACTAGAAAACGAAATCATTGTAGATTAAAGAGATAGTTAGAGACATTTACAACGTGGTTCGCGAACAAATACACAATTGTGGATGGACAGACGAATACAACAAAGAGTTGTTTCTTGAGAAACTTGAGCATATAAAGTTCGAATTTATTAAGCCCGAGTGGTACAGCGACGAAGCTATAGACAGATTTTATGAAGACGTAAGACATCTACTAGAGGACAAATATTTCTAAGTAGTAGAATCTTTTTTGTACTTTCCCTTTAATTTCTGTCTGATAAAGGAAGAGAAGTTCAAATATCTTAGACTTTTTTTTATTTATTGATTGTTTATCGTTATAAATGTTTACAAAATAGTAGTTTTGAATTACAATGCATTTTAGTTAAATGTCAATAAGCCATATGTCCAAAATCAATTAAAAGTGTCTATCTTCGAGGAAAAGAAATTGGAGAGCTTGCGAAATTCTGACAATCAATTTTTTTTGCCGTAAGTCTTTTATGTTTGTTAATATGTAAGTTTTATTACATTTACAATGTAACAAATAATAACATTGTTATAAATTACAAACTACATTAAAAACTTCATAGTACATCTATATTTTTTATAATAGGTGGATAATTCATCCGACAACACCGGATATATTCTACGACTCACGTTACAATAAAATTGGTTAAGTTTTAAACTTCCTCGTAGAAGATCGTATTAAATTTCATGAATAATATTTATTTGTTGTTTTCTTTATTTCCAGCCGTCCCTGCTGCTTTATTACAAAAACCTGTATATGACAGAAATCGTCCTGCGTAAGTGCTACCATTTGTAACATTTTTTCAAAAAAAAAAAAAAACTGTTCAAATAATCACACATTTTATTTATTATTTTGTTACAGGGTTATGAACTACGCAACGCTAGGAGCTGCTATTGGACGTGAGATCACTCATGCTTTCGATAAAAACTGTAAGTAATATCTTATTTGTGCGTCAATGAGAAAAATCACACCTGTACCGTATTGAATATAGGTATGCAGGATCAGGATAACACGTATTCAGGGAAGACTACGCAATCAAATTACAGAAACATAACGCAATGTTTCATCGATCAATACAACAATTATCAGGTCCAAGTACAAAATAGAATTATTCGCGTAAGTAAATCGCGTGACATAAGAACATAAATGTACAGATCAAACTGATCCTTATTTTCGAGCTATTTAGAAAGATGTCTCATTTTTCGAAATTAAGTAATCTATAAGTTGCCTAAGTTTCTTAAACTGTAGATTTGCGAATTGTTTTAGGTAAATGGATCATTGACGTGCACAAAGAACCTAGGCGATTCTGCTGGAATTTTTACCGCATATCAAGCGTATAAATACAGAAAAACGAGACGAGGCGAAGAGGATTTTTGGTTAGAAGGTCTGCACAAGTACACCGATGAGCAAGTTTTCTTTCTGACTTATGCTCAAGTAAGCTTTTAATAAAGTTTTACGGATATGTAAAAAAAAAATGTATCGAAACTGCGGTCAACAACTGGCTGGTAAAATTACATGGACGATAGAAAATAGTAGGATTATTCTTTCTTTTAGTTATTCTGCGAAACTGCTCTGCCGCAAAAGATACAAAAGAATATTGTTCAGACCGTCTCCTCGTTAAGAAAAATTCGAATTCGTGGCAGCCTGTCGAACTCTCGTGAATTCTCCGATGCATACGATTGCCTTCTGGGAACTCGAATGAATCCAACAAAGAAGTGCACATTTTGGTAAAATATTTTTCTAAACGAAGAGTAAAACAAAATGTGAAACCAATATAAATACTACTATCAACGCAATGTTTGTTCTTTAGCAAATATTTTTTAAATATAAAACCAATATACTTCTACATATACGTACTGAAATCCGTATTTCAGCAATTACAGTAGAATAACGTTTTTTTTTTAATTGAAAAGAATTATAGAATTGTAAACGTATAAATTTATAATAAGAGTAATGCTTAAATCATTTACAATTGCTTAAAAAGAAAATTACTCAGAATAATTTAGTTTTCTTGATGCACTGTAACAAAAAGACTAAATGGGATTCGTTAGATTTCAATACGTATAGTATGTATGCACATACGCGCAAATTATGTGTAAACAAAGTGTGTATGTTTTAGGGTAAAATAAATATAAATGTAATAAATGTGACTAATTATATGAACGTATTAAACGTTTTTCAAAAAAGTCATGTGCAATAACTTATTCTCGAGTTCCTTTTTATGAATAAAACATTCCATGACGTTTCACACATTAATGTAGTTCCTTGCTATATAACGCATTATGTCGCATGTATAATCGTTTTGAATCTTATTAAAATAATATGGTTTCTTATGTATTCGTTGAAAACTTGTCTTAAACAAAAGAATTGTAAAATGTCTGAGGATGCAAAATGTACAAAAAACTGTTTCACGTCTATAATTGCCACTGTGATACGAAACAGAAGTGATTAATGTTTGAAAAAAACCTGTTGAAAAACATTACAATACGATTAATCGTGAAATCATTCAAATTATGAAATTTTTAATTAAAAGATATCGTTAAGGCACTGTATGTATTAAGACTGTAAATATCATTTTTAAGACAAGTAACGGAAAAATGATGAAAACTACTGAAATGCGACTTTTGATATTTGAATATTTCCGAACCAATCAGAAGGCAAACGCGAGCATGACACGTGATTCGTATAAACACCACGTAGAGGTAAGAGTGTAATTCCAAATATCAAACAAGTTAGTCAACTTTCGTCCTCAAGACGCTACGATACCAGATAGGTCTGTTAAAATATCGTATAGCAAAACTACGTTAACGCGGTAATAAATATACCTTGCGTATAGTTTTAATTACACTCGTCACGGAATACTTTTACGTCTGACTATTTGAAAAGAAAGACCTATTATTAACGAAAAATAAAAATTTCTCATTGGAATAAAACATTTTATGTAGATACGTACCAAATGCATATTTAATGACTGACATTTTTTAAACAAAGTGCTACGACGAATTACTTGGTACATACATACATAAGTCTTAAGTAAACTATCCAGGCGCAAATATACGGTATCGTTTATGTTTTATTTATTTGATTTGTTTATGTAACTTTCTTTCTATATACTTATCGAACATATTTTCAATTATAAGAAACATTTAACTCGTGCGTTTTTCTTTTTTGCGATTGTAGTTTATTAGTGACCACCCTTGAAATCGCGAACACAAAGAAAAACACAAGTGGTACCGATTCAGCTTTGAGCAAAATCACACTATGGGAACTTATCGTTTCTTTATGTAAGAATTAATATTACAAATATTATAATTATATTTACTATAATCATTATATAATGGCAAACACATACGTCTTCGTAACAATATTGATTCTATATTTCTGGTTTCGTATTTGCGATATTTTTACAGAGTTCTTCTGATAGCGTATATTACGTTTTACATTCCAGCAACATATAGTACTGAACATCGGCCAATTATAATATGCACTACAGAAGAATGTATAAATACAGGCGCGTATATGTTATAAAGTATTTGTATTTTGCTCCGTAATTTGTCCCATGTATGTATGATTACTTAAAAAACATTTATTTCTATAGCTTCAGAGATTTTATCGAAACTCGATCGTGCCGTTGATCCTTGTGACAATTTTTACAAATTTGCTTGTGGAGGATGGTTACAACATAACCGAGCGAATTTGTCATTCCCAAAAGTTAACATCTTCTCACTGCTCAAAAGAAAGACAGAGAATCAGATTCGAGGTAATAAAGTTATATTACCTTTTTTTTGTTTTCTTATAAATCTAACCAAAAATATATATGTACAAAGAAAACTTTGAGAATACAAAAATTAAGTCGATTTAAAATTATATGTTGGATAGCAAATATTCATTTATTGATACAAAATTGACGGCAATAATTTTTTTTTTATTACTCTCTTTCGATCGATCAGTATAAAGTCATTTGAAACCACAAAATAACAAAAATATAAATTATAAACGTCAAAGTTTGTCAATTAATATATTAAAAGAACATAATACATAACTGTTATATGACTTGTATAAAGCCTCAAAGAAGCATATATGTATAATCAATCATAATAAATCAAAAGAAACACGTGAAAGTCAGAAAAGTGAAACTGTAAACATAAACATTATCTTGATGTGTCCTTTGTGCAAAGCTAAACAAAGAACTTTGAATGTTAAACTTGTTTTCTCTCATTGGAGATATTCAAACAAATCCTCGTGTATGCGCGTTATATTTTTGAAATAATTGAAATGTAGTACACCGAAACTTCTCTTTTTTCCTTTTCAGAATTATAAATGTTTTAGAATTTTAAAAATTTTATGCAATTCTAGAGAGTGAGATACGTTGCGCGAAAACTGATATTTTTTATCTCATAAAACTGCGTGTAAAACTATTTATCTTTTAATGATTTTAATATTAGTATATTTAATAATATTAATATTACTATCAATAATATTATTAATTGTAATATAAAAGCAAATTTAAAAAATTATATGATTTTATGTACATGTAATAATCCGTCGATTTCTTATCCGTAGAAATGTTAGAAGCACCGAACAAGCCAAATGATACTTTGTCTTTGCTAAAAGCAAGACAAGTATTCGCGCAATGCATGAATCACAATACTGACAAAAATACAAGTAGTAAAACAGTCGAAATGACCAGCTCCAACACTGTGGAAGCAAATAGTATTGCACGTGCCGAGATGGACGAAAGTAGTAGACAAAGTAATGAAGACGATACGAAGTGGAAAAAATGCGTGGACAATGTTAGTATGTATATTGCAATTTTGCATGAATATGTCAAGAAATACGCATCCCATCTAGAGAATCCAGAATACCTAGAGGACGTAAGTTTACTGCGCAATTAAAAAAAACTTATTGTATATGACAATAATTTAACTCGTACTAGAAAGTAAACCCATTGCAGATTAGAAAGATAGCCGCGGACGTTCACAACGTCGTTCGAGAACAAATAAGAAATTCTACGTGGGTAGACCAAGGTACAAAAGAAGCGTTTCTTGAAAAACTTGAGCATATAAAGTACGAATTTATTAAACCCGAGTGGTTCAGCGACGAAGCTATAGATAGATTTTATGAAGGCGTAAGTCACACACTTGCTAGAATACGAATATTTTTAAGTGAAAGAGTTTCTTTCCGTACTTTTTCTTTAATTTCTTCGCGATAAAGAAAAAGAAGCTCCAATAATTTACACTGTTTTTATTTACGTATTGTATATTAGACATGTTTCCAAAATAGTAGTTTTGAATTATAATGTATTTTAGTTGAATGTCAGTAGGCCATATTTCTTAAATTTATTAAATGTATATAAGTACGAGAAAATTAAAGTTTTGAGCTTATGGAACTCCGACAATACCATTTTTTCGCCGTAAGTCTTCTTGCAGTTATGTATTTTAATATGTAATTGTTTTTTACATTTACAATACAACAAAGAATGACATCATTTAAGGTAAGAACTTCATAATACATCTTTTTTTTATACAATAGGTCGCTATTGGAATCGATGTCACCGCAATTATACTATGATAAAAAAAACAATAAAATTGGTAAAGTTATAAACTTCTTCATAGTATATTATTTTAATTTTTAAAGTGCATAAATAATATTTGTTTTATGTTTTTTTACGTAGTCGTCACTGCTGTTTTATTACAAAAACCTGTATATGACAGATATCGTCTTCCGTAAGTACTATTATTTCTAACATTATTCAAAAAACAAATCTTTAAAGTGTATTTATTTTATTTATTATTTTGTCATAGAATATTGAATTACGGTGCGCTAGGATTTATTATTGGACATCATATCACTCAGTTGTTTGATGACAATTGTAAGTAATATCCTAAGTATGTGTCTCAATGAGAAAAATTATACTGTAAATATTTAATACAGGTGTCTTAGATAACAACGTCACGTATTCGGAGAGGATTCTGCCATTGTACAAAAATATAACGCAATGTTTCATCGACCAATACAATGATTACCTGATTTCGGGAGTAGAAGATAAAGTTATTCGCGTAAGTAAATTACGTGACAGAGCGTAAAAGTGCAAAGTAAACTTTTCTCTATTTAATGGTTTTTTAGATATGGTTTCTTTTTCGAAAGTAAGTAGTTTATGTTTATTGCGTGTTGTATATTATATAGATTTGGATATTTTTTTTAGGTGAACGGATCGTTAACGTGTCCAGTGAACATGGGCGATTCTGCTGGAATTGTTGCTGCGTATCACACATATAAAAACTGGAAAGCAGATCTACAAGAAACTGAATACCGATTAAAAGGCCTAGAGCATTACACCGATGATCAGATTTTTTTTCTGACTTATGCTCAAGTAAGATTTTAATAAACATTTTAATAAAATATTACGAATACATTAAGAGGTGATGGAAACTACGATCAACGAACTGGTGGTAAAAATACGTGGATGATAGAAAATTGTAATATTCGTTGTTCTTTTAGTTTTTCTGCGAAACTGTTCTGCCGGAACATGTACATAACAATATTGTTCAAAACAAACACTTGTTAATGGAAATTAGAGTTCGCGGCAGTCTATCGAACTCTCGTAAATTTTCCGAGGTATACAATTGCCCTCTGGAAACTCCAATGAATCCAAAGAAGAAGTGCGCACTTTGGTTCTAAACCGAGGAGTAATGAGATAAAAAAGTAACATAATTACAATTGTCTACACAGTTTTTTTTCCTCTTTTGCAAACACTTCGTAAAAATATACAACTATTATATTTTTGATATACATACTGAAAATCTATAAAACCTGAGCAGTTAAAATAACGGTTTTTCTTGAATGAATAAGAAATATGTAAGTTTTAATATAGGTTTTAATACTGTTAGTACAATCTTAGATTAATTGTCAGTGCATAATGTTTTAATTATTTACGATTGATTAAAAAGAAAATTAATCACAATATTGTAATTTTCTTGATAGATAGATTCTTATGATAGATAGATACTAGTTAGGATTCTTAACAGTTTGATAAATCTATTCATACAAAACATAAGTATGTATATTCAAAAGTAAAAATCTATATGAATGTAACAAATGAGTGCAATAAATGTTTGTTAAGAAAGACATGTGCAAAAACATATTTTCCTTTTTTTTTCATGTGAATATCACACATCTATCTAAATTCGTTCCAAAGTTTTTGTTCTTAAAATGGAAACCTTTGAAGTTGCCAACATTTAAATTGTAATTAAAATCGTAGGTAATAAAATTTAAATTTAACTTGTAAAATTTATTGAAATATTTTACGTTTTTCTTTACTTTTTTTCTCGCAAGTCAACAACGGGAATTTTATAATTATTTTAAAAACAATCATATATCCTAATATATAAATTAAAAGAAATATAAAAAATCATTGATAACTTATTAAAACTGACTAATCTTATTTGATTGTTAGGATAACGCGCTTATCCCTATGTGTTTATACGAATCACGAGCATGTTACGTGATAATTTAACAACTAGAAACTTTAAACATCCAGAAATCATGAAAACTGTTATATGTATAATTCTATACGAATTATGTCTGCACAAGAAAAATAAAAAATAGTAATATATTTTTTTATATTAATATATTTTTTATTTTTTTTGTGCAGACATGATCCGTATAGAATTATACATATAACAGTTTTCATGATTTCTGGATGTTTAAAGTTTCTAGTTGTGGGATTATCACGTAACTAGCTCATGATGACCTCTGATTGGTCTAGAAATATACCAATTAGAGGCCATCACGAGCACGTTACGTGATTCGTATAAACACATAGGGATAAGCGCGTTATTTCAACGATCAAATAAGATCAGTCAGATTTAGCCCTCGCAATGCTACGTAGTAAGTAGTGACGAAATATTGTATAAAAAAGTGATATTAACACTGTAATAAATATCTATTTTATGTGTACTTTTAGATAAATTTGTAACGGAAATCTTTGAAGCAAAACTACTTTTTTTTAACTAAAGAAAAAATCTCTTGTTGAACTGAAACACTTTGTGTAGATATATGTGTATTATATGCGTATGTAACGTACGACATTTGAACAAGTGCATAACTTGGCATATAATACACGAATCTTAATCAAACTCTACCTCGACGCACACATATAGGTATAGTAGTTTCTGTTTTATTTTTTTAAAGATAATTTTTTATACAACACATTTCCGACTATGAGAAAAATTTAATTTCGATCATTTGTTTCTTGCGACGGCAGTTTACTCAGTGTCCATCTTGAAAATCGCGAATACAAAGTCGAAAAGAAGCAGTGCTGATTCGCCTTCGTATTTTGTGTTACAAACTTATGACACACTTTAGAGATGTACCATTTCTTTATGTAAGACATAAAATAATATTACTAATATTACAATTATATCTACTATACACCAATTTTATAATAGCACACACATATGTCTCTATAACAATATTAATTACATATTTTTTGTTTCGTATTTCTCACATTTTTGCAGAGATATTCTGATATCCATCGCGTTTGCGCACGTTACGTTCGGCGCTCCAACAAAAAATAGTAATGAATTTAGTCAATATACATTATGCGTCACTGATGAATGTATAAACGCTGGTACGTTTATAAATTCTGTTTATAATTTCGCTTGTATAATTTATCTTATATGTTTGGCAACTTAAGTAGATTTTTTTATATTTCTGTAGCTTCCAAGATTTTAGCCAATCTTAATCGTACAGTTGATCCTTGCGACAATTTTTATCAATTTGTCTGTGGCAAATACGCACATAATAATCAAGTCAATGACTCGTTTCCATCAATTGAGTCATTTGCAGAGATCCAAAAAAAAACAAAAATTCATCTCCGAGGTAATACAGTTTTAATATGTTTACTATGTATATATAAATAAAGATATACATAAACAGCAAAAACATTTGCAAACCATATATATTTAGTTTATCGAAATTTATATTAATCGAAATATATGTGTATATGCATATACACATATAACTCCGTCATTATTTTTTGTGTAGAAATCTTAGAAGAACTTCCTAAGCCAGACGATACTATGTCCCTGCTTAAAGCAAAACTTATATTTGCACAATGCGTAGATAACGGTTTGTATTTCATTACACTGTATACTGCACAGTGCTCATTAGTACGTCTTATTTAAAAAAACACAAAACAACTAATGTTTAAATTAAAAAAAAAAAGGCTTATTTCTTTTTAATTTAATTTTTAGAAAACAGAACGGACGAGGAAAATATATACAGAATCCGTACAGAAATTAAAAAAAAACATCCCTATTTGTGGCTATTGGATGTGTCTTCCGAAAGAAAAAAAAGTAATGTGACGTGGCAAGATGTAAGCACGACCTTGCTCGAAAATGGGTTTGATAATGGCCTTTTCGAAATAACAGTGTTACCGGATATCAGAATGTCCAACAGTAACGTTATCGTTGTATGTATATTATAATTTAATCAAAATATAAATTATAAAATTATAATTATATTCACAATTATATCACGTACACATACATATTATACGTATTTATCTTATTCGCGTAAAAGAGTAATTGAAGTATCAAAAGCAATTATATCATTATATTTTACACGAACGACGTACACACACGTGTTATATAGTGTAACATATATAGAAACAGATAATATTATGAAAAATATGTGTTCTTAGATCAATGGACCTTTACTCTCTTCATCACTGAACTACAAGCTTAAGTTTTTTAATTTCTCATTTCCCGAATGGGCTGAATATCCAATGATATATGATATATTCGACATCGCATTCATTGCGAATAATTTAGCACAAGAGAATAGTGAAACTGACGAAATTAGAAACATTACTCAAGACGTACTTGACGTCGCAACGTTTTACGTACAAATACTAAGCGTTAGTATAAACGACCATTATATGTTAATGTCTTAAAATACATGTTCTTTAAGCAATTTTTAAATAATATAATGCCACTTTTTCAATACTTAAAAAAATTTTTTTATGCTCTGTGAAATATTTCTTATCTATCCTATAAAAACAAAAGTTAATTATACAGAGTCTGTAATAGCTCATTGCATTAAGTGACTATTTTAATTGTTTTAATTCTCACAGCTGACAGACTCTCAGGAATATGAAAATGAAGATGTTAATTATGTTTCGTTAACCATTCAACAATGGCAAGAAGAATATGATAAACAACATCCCGGAAAGAACGGGAAGGTTTGACTCTATGCTGATTAAAATGATTCAATATGTATATTCAATAACTAAATAACCTTGTTTTGTTTCTTCCATTACAGATTGACTGGTATCACACTATTCAAAAAGCATTTTCGTCAGAAGGAATCGCAATTCAACCGTCTGAAAAGATTGTCGTTTTAGCGTATACATATCTTATCAATTTGATACCTGTGTTAGAACAAACATCATCTCGCACTATTGGTAAGATTGTCGAAAGTTTAAAAGAACGTTACTTTAATATAAAATATTAAAAGAAATGTTTCATCATATCAGTAATGTAATTGTAACTGCAGTTAATTACATGCATTTCTATCTAAATATCAAACTTGAACCATATATGAGAAGATTACCACACACTACACAAAACGAAATAGACACAAGAGGGAAGACTTGCTTGGATAAAGTTAACTTGAAATCCGCTATTTCGCATGAATATGTCAAGAGATACATGTCGCATTTAAATATCCAGGCCGTAAGTTTAATAAAAAAAACATATATAAAACAATACTTCATATATTATAAAACACATTTATTTTAGATCAGAGAAATGATTATAGACATCACGAACGTCGTTCGCGAACAACTAAGACATTCCACATGGATGGACGAATCTACAAGAAAAGCGTCTCTCGAGAAACTGGCGAATATGAGGCGCGAAGTTATTAAGCCCGATTGGTACAGCGACGAAGCTATTGACAGATATTACAAAGACGTAAGTACATTTTCTGAAAGAGAGAGCAAATTATTTCTAACAACAAGAAGTAGAACATTTTTATATTTTAAATTATTTTCTCTTCTTTTTGCGATAGAAGAAGAGAAGAGCTAATATCTTACATTTTATTTATTTATTTATTTATTTACGTATCGTTACGATTCTTTACAAAAGAAACACTTTTTGAAGAATTATTGTGTATTTTAGTTGGATGTCGGTACGGAATATTTCGACAATATCATAAATATACTAAAATTCGAGAAAAAGAAAACGATGAGCTTGCTGAGGACACCTGTCGACAGATCACAGTACAAATTTTTTTTTTCGCACAATTTTCTCGTACAATAAATATATTATTACACATACTATATGAATATTGAAATTTTTATATCAATAAATTGAGAAATTTAGTGTGTGTAAATATTCTTGTTTGTAACGGAAGAAATTTCATATCTGTACTTTCGTTTAACAGATGGAGTTACGAACCGACAGATTCGATAGCTTACTACGTTATGAATCTTAATAAATTCGGTAAAAGTTTTAAATCTGTTAAAAGATAATATCACGTGATAAAATAATTTTATAATAATTTACACTTTATTATTAATCATCTATTTCGGTGTCTTTTTTACGTAGTTATTACTGCTGCCTTGATGCAAAATTGGGTAAACGACGGTCTTTCGTAAGTATTCTTACATGTAAAAATCTAACAAAAAATACGGTTGTGATAAACATCTTTAAACATTTAAACAATTTTTTTGTTTTGTATTAGATTTCTGAACTACGGATCGGTGGGATTTATTGTCGCACACGAAATGAGTCACGGTTTCGATAATGAAGGTAATTAGTTTTCTTACTTTTATAACAGTGAGAAAAATTGAAATATAAAATATTGTTTATATAATAGGTCGCAAATATAACATAGACGGCAACGCGATACCGTGGTGGACGCAAAGATCTATTAATGCATACGAAAACATAACTCAATGTTTCATTGACCAATACGATGAGTATCTGGTTCCAGGATTAGAGCATGAGGGTATTCACGTAAGTAAATTACACGTTACACATGCAGCAAAAAAGAGTTGACAAAAAATTTTTATATTTTTGTATAATTGAAAGGTCTTTAATTGTTTGAAACAAATTCTTGTGTTTTCCTGTTTTTTTCTAATATGTATAAAAAGTCGCATTTTCTCAGGTAAACGGACAATGGACACTCAATGAGAACATTGCGGATTTCGCTGGAATTGCAACTGCATATTATGCGTACAAGAACAAAAAAGCGAAATCAGATGACGGCCCTGAATGGAGGCTGCAGGGACTAGAAGAGTACAACAATGATCAAGTTTTCTTCATGGCTTTTGGTCAAGTAAGTAACTAATAAGATGTTACAAATACAACGAGATGTGTGCAGAAACGTCGGTCAAACGAACAGTTGATGAAAATACATATGAAAAATATTAACACTTTCTTTTTTTGTAGATATTCTGTTCCAATACCTTGCCCGAAACGTTAAAACAGCATATTTTCAAAGTTCATTCTGTATCTGAAATTAGAGTACGTGGCAGTCTTTCGAACTTCCGTGAATTCTCCGAGGTTTACAACTGCCCCGCGGGGAAGCAAATGAATCCGATAAAGAAGTGCTCTTTTTGGTAACAGAACGACGAGTAACGATATGATGTGTTTTTATTTATTATAAATCTACAAAATTATAAACGCCTTTCCTTTTACGTAGAACAAATATTTTATGTGCTAACTGTACATTCACCAAATGTAACTCTATATTTTGTAACTCTATATGAATGTATGAATGTGTGAATACTTGGTTTTTGAGAAATACATTTTATAGAAATGCATTTGCAGCAATATGTTTTCAAACTTTTTATTGAAAATTCTCTTATTTTACATGTGCCATTGTCATATTTGAATACAATATTTTTTCTCGCAGATAGTACGCGTGTTACATAGGTTTTCGTATATTTCGTGAATCTTACTCAACACATTCTTTTTATCACGGTCGGTATTCTCACGGACTTTTTCGGCCCGCGAAGATTCGCGGCTTTTTTTGTGCACTACATAAAATTTAAAATTACTTGACGTTATTATAATTAACTCCTAGCGCGCAGTACTTTAAACTCCTTATAAACTGGACAAACATATAAACGCAAATAGAATCGTCTCGATAGCTGTTTTTATATAAAAGCAAAAAAATTATTGGCTACGGCGTTATTTCTTGTCACGCGTAATACGTTGACACATTCTGTATAAAACCATACCGAGTCTCACTCAGATAACAAAGAAAAGTAGAAAACTACAAATGTGACTTTTGGTATACTTTTAGGTCTGTAACATGGCGAACACGAGCATAACACGTGTTATAAACATCACTTGGTAGAAAACGATTTATCTCGCGCTATCCCACAAGTAGGACTAGTCAGGTTTAGTCCGTGCAAGCATCGATAGTTGGTAAGTAATGTGCTAAGAATTAAAGTTTATAACACTCTTTTACCACTATTATAAGTATGTATTTTACGTGTACTTCTAGACGACTTCCTAGTAAAAAAATTTTACGTCTGATCTTTTCGAAAGAAAAGAAATTACTATTTTTTAACTAAAGATAAAAATCTCTTGTTGGATAAAAACATTTCATATAGACGTATGCGTCCTTAATGTACATTTGAACAAGTGCTCTGCTACATCGCTTGTCATATGTACATGAGTTGATTATATTCTCAAGTCGCAAATATATGGTATGCTCCTTAATTACTTTTTAATTATTGTTTTCTATGTAACTGTTTATATAATTCAAAGACTTATTATAATAGAAATGTATTTAAATTTGATACTAATTTTTCAATAAAAGTTCATTGTGACCATCACCGAATTTGCAAATACAAAGTTGAATAAAAGTGTATAAATTTACGCTTTAAGATCATATTTTGTGTTTCAAACTTCTCATATATGGAGACGTACGACTTCTTGATGTAAGAGTTACAATTCAAAATGTGTATAATAATATGTATCAAAACAGTTATACAACACAGTTATACAATTACGTAAAAATGTTTTTGTCAAGTAAGTAATTAATAAAGTGTTAAATTATACAATAATAAGCACATAAATTTAATTCATCTAACAATCGATAAAAATAAAAGGACAATAAGTAGATAATAGTAATATTATTATTTTTTGTTTTGTTTTAAATGATATGCAAAGATATTTTTCCGGAAGTTTTGCAAAACCGTACATTTGACAACTATCCCCGAATGGAAACTAGGATTCTTGGCAGTCTTTCGAATTTTCCTGAATTCTCTGCTGCTTACAACTGCCCCAAGAAAAAAAGAATGAATCCCGAAAAGAAATATGCTCTGTGGCAATGAAACGACAAAGTTATATGTAATTTTTGTAACTATAAAAATGCAAACACGATGCCCTTCTTTCCCAAACAAGATATTTGGAAGAAAATTTTGTTAGATAAATTACGTCTACATACGTATACATATGTATACATGTATATATACTATATGTAAATGTGTAATAAATTTTCATTTTTAATATAGTAAAATATTTGCGAAATAATCTTGTGTGTTTTTTGCATCAGTAGTCCCACTAAAGTATGTTTTGTCAACATCTGTGCGAAAACCGTTATATATCTTGCTGTACTTATCCTTGGATCTCGCGAAGATAAATGTTCGTGCAATTTAGTATACTGATATTTCATTGTTTTTGTACTCTTTGCAAGTTATTAAGGAAAACTAAATTTTTTTGCGATTATCAGTGACGTATATGATCCAAGAAATTGCATAAAGTATAAATATCTTATAATTATTTGAGTAGTTTTGCGTCAATTAATACTGTAAAGGTCTTTTGTAATTTTTGCTGATATATCATACACACACACAAAATCAGACTTCATGATTCAAAAATAATTGTAAAATTTAAAGGTTACATTATTTCGGTAATTCTTCTTATTTCCACTATAGTCACCAAATTATGAAATTCTACTTTTTGCGCATCAGAATGCACTAATTAAGATGCAGGTAGTCGTCACATAGCGAAATATAATGTATATTCGAGCCACCCGTTAGGTTAAATATTTAATCGCGGTATAGGCAGAACTTAGTGCGATTCTTTTTGAAAGTTCATTACAATTGAACTGCTTAATGTTCACTCATAAAAATCGCTGGCGGGAAGATGCGATTGAATTATTTGTTACTTTTTCGACATACAAATATAATAATTGTGGAATCATTAAATGACAATGCGTTCATTATTTGTGTTTGTTTAACAACTGCATACGCCAAATCATTATTAGAAGTTACAATATTATTTGACGTAACAACATAATTATTTGAAGTAATAATATTATTATTTAATTATAATATTAAGGTACTCTATCTTCTGCACATCGTATTTTAAACGAATCTCAATTATCCTTCAAATAGCAGAAAAAAGCTGAAAATTACAAGTGTAAGTTTTAGAATAAGTTTAGGGCTACAAAATAGCCAACACGAGCACGACACGTGCTTCATGTAAACATTAGATAAGAGAACACGGTGTAGCCCGGGTAAAATTTCTTACATACGACAAGTCGGGTTTAGTCCGCGCAACGCATCGGTAGCTGGTAGACGACTTCGTAATGAAAGAATTTTATTTAATCTGATCTTTTCAAAAGAAAAGAAATTACTATTTTTTACCTGAAGACAATAATCTCTAAATTTAATTGTTGGAGTAAAACACTTCATGTAAATATATGCGTATTAAATGCATTTTTTAAATACAACATTAAACAAGTGCATCGTCGCATTACATGAATATTAATTACATTATCAAGCAGTAAATATACGGTATACTTTTGTTTTAAATA